TGAGGTCTCCATGTCCCTTTGTGTTCGCTAGGACCTGGCTGGAGTGCCTGACCTAGGACCATTAGAAAAGCCGGACAGACAGACAACAGGGGATCTGCAGGAAAGGGCCCCTCCCGCAGCCCTGGGAAGTGTTGAGGGCCCACCCTGCACAGGCTTCATGGGGAGCCACCTGTTTCCAAACTGCTCTGGAAAAACTAAAGAAAAATGTTTCCACCTTAGACTGGTGTGCAGATGGGTGTGTGTGAGGGTCCTGGTGAGTGGCTTGATTCGCCACCGAGAAGGGAATCCTAAAGAATCGGGAAGCCACACCCGTCTGCCGCATCTAACGTTCCTTCCCGTGCCCTTCTATCTGGCACCCTGCTCTTCCTCACCTCCCGACACTGCTGTTCCCTTGGTAAATGTTAGCACCAGGGACAGAGTGACAGAAAGCTGGTGGTGATGGGCACGCAGTGGTGGGAAAAGGTGGGCGTGGTGGAACCCTAATATCCCTAATACCTGATGCTGTGTGGTGCAACCAGCAAGCAACACATGACCTCATGTAGGCGCCTGAATAACTCCATGGCGTGTTATTCCCATCGTACAGATGAGGAAATGGAGACAAACAGGCTGAATAACTGGTCACGATTCCCCAGAGAGGCAGAGCCCACAGGACTCGCCCCCAAGCCCCCACCCAGACTCACAGTGAGGAACTGACTCGGTGCTGTGGAGGCCAAGGGCTCCCAGTTTCTGCAGTGGCTAGCAGGAGGCCCGGGGGGGCCTGCAGGGTCCAGTCTGAGGCTGCAGGCCGAGCACCAGGGCGGAGAGTCTGTGTTCCAGGGTGAAGGCTGCAGGGTGGGGATGGGGAGACTAAGGACGTGCAACCACTGCTGTCCCGCTCCTCACCAGGCAGGAGGCTGCCTCTCTCCCTTCGAGGTGCCTCTCTCCCTCTTGCTCTTGCCTCACTTGATCGCAGAGGCCCACCCACACGTGGAGAGCCACGCTCTCTGCTCACTCGTCCACACACCCAGTTAGGACGTCCCCCGGTTGGCTGAATTTCTGGGCATCCCATGGCCCGGTCAGCTTGGCACGTTGAACTCCCCATTATACCTACCCCAGATGGCTAGCTACTTGAAAGATGCTGTCAGAGCTGAAAAAGAGCCACCCCTTCCCCCTGCATCTCTTGGGCCATGGGAAGTGAGAGGCAGCCCTCTACCAGTGCAGATTGTTCCCAGGCAATAAGGTGTGTGAGGGTCAACGAACCCTGGGATAGAGTCGGCAGGTATACAGTTGGCGTTTCCTGTGTTTTGCACACTAAGCGATCTTCAGTGAGTCAAATGCAATTTGCCTTTCCAAACAGACAGACAACAGAGGCCTCCGAGCACCTGAATGTGCACTTCCCTCTCAAGCAGCCTCGGCACGTCCTCAACTCTCAGCGAGCCCCGGGGAGAACCTATTCTTCATGCTCTTTTTCCTTTCTGGGCGCAAGTATCCGAGGGGAGACGGCTCACAGGCACCTGACGTGGCTGCCACATTTCATGAGGTAAGTCTTCCACGTTCCAAGAGGAAGGCGGGTCTGGTATTGGACGGCGCAGGCCTGCACTCTCCTGGTGCTGGTCAGAGGGAAAGCCCCCATGGACCCATAGACGCACGTGAGCACGCAGCCACCAAAAATGAAAAGAGGAGGCAGAGAGAGCCCTGGGTGGGAACCAGCACCCCTGGGATCTCTTCCACTTTCTCAGACAATTTTCATGTCAATGGGAAAATAGAAAATGTGAATAGGAGCTTGTTTTTCAAATCTGAGGGAAGATTCTATCTTTACCCTTAATTCCAGTGTATTCTGTGAGAGCTGTCAATTTAGGTAGGCTTTCTAAACGAGACTCTTAGCTCACCTTTCTTTTAGGGGGAGGGTGGCTTATTGTCACCCGTGGAGCAGAGCTACCCCTCCCCCCGCCCATGTCTTGAGTGTGACCTGAACCCAGAGCCACACTCTCTGACACCCAGCCCCATCTAGACAATTCCCTCCTGCGTCATGGTCGCAGAGAACGGATGGCAGTGGTTTGCTGCTGCTCAGAGGCAGCACAGGCCAGGTTCTATCCTTCCGTCCGTCACTTTGACAGTTTCTTTCTGCTTCCCCTTGTCCTTTCCTGCCACCAGCCAGATTTGAGGCAGGGGGTTCTTACCCACCCCACGCTGCTTCCACAGCAGCTCAAGCCCGGTCTTCGTCCTCCAGGATGAGTCTGTCCAGCTCCTGTCGCGTTGGCCTTTGTCTGGTGCTCGTGTTGGGACAGCATGTCCACAGGACTCCATTTCTGGGTGTGTCTCCGTGGCTTCTTCCTAAGGCGCCTCTCTCATGATAGACCTCGACTATTTTTTTTTTGAATAATGGCTATCAGGGCTCCTCTAAGAGGTCCAGTAAATACTCTCAATTAACAAAATGGGATTCTAAATGAAATATCAATTTGGCAGATATCAGGCAGAGTTAAAAACAAATATTCTAATACAATATTCGACCGTGAAATTGTTCATTACTTGAATTAATGGCCGTTCGGTCCATGGTCAAAATTTTCCTCCCTATCAGGCAGTGGTCACAATGACACACGGGCCTTCCCGTTACTTCACAAGGGTCATCCCACACGTGTCTCCCCAGTTGTTCCCAAGGAGCATCCCTGTCCTCCCAGGGCCATGTGAGGAGGCAGGGTCCTCTGGGGAAAGACACTTGTGGTTCCACATTCTCCACTAAGTTCTCAGCAGCCATAGAACTTCCCCACTAGGTCTGTGGGTTGGTCAGGGTTTCAGAGGTGAACCCAAGGGATGAGGAGGTGGAGGGATGGGTGGAGGGATGGACGGATGGATAGCTCTGAAAGGGTATTTGTGGGGGAAATCGTCCCACAACAGGTTGCTGCAGACTGGAGACCCTGGAGGCTGGAAGTGTGTCCAGTGCCCCTGGAAGCCTGAGGCTGGGAAGGCTGGTGTACTCCTCAGTCCTTTGATGTCCTAGGGCAGGGGGCGAAGAGCACCCAGCTCCAGGGGAGAGAGGAAATCCTGCATTCTGTCCTCTCTCAGCCCCAGCTGGAGGATGGAACTTGCCCCCTGTGGAGCTGGACTTCCCCACCTGGGCCAATGACCACTGCCATCTCCTCCAAATGCCCTCACAGACCCACACAGAGGACTGCTCTCCCAGTTCCCTGGGTGTCCCTTCCTTCAGTCACCATCACCTCTGTGTCGGACATTGCTCCACTGGGGGAGGAATTTCTTTCCTTTGCAGCCCCATCCTGATTCCATGTGTGCTGTGAGCTCGGTGGTGGTAGGTCAGATACTATTCCACTGCTACATGCTGTAAAAAAGACCAGCACTATCATTCAGTAAGATGCACGGCAGTGGAATGGGGCAGAGGAATGGGGCTCAGCTCTCAACCCCCAAGGGAGTGACTTTGGGAAGCTACCAAAGCATCCAGGAGAACGCTGCTGTCCATGAAACCTGTCACTCGGTCCTTTCCAGAGTCCTGACCCAGGGCATCCCTTCACAGTACAACTGTGTCTCCTCTGACACTGTCAAGCCCTGTCATTCAGCTTTGGAACTGACCACATGTACTAAACTGGCACTAAGGCGCTTAATTACCTCCAAACCCCAAACCTACCTGAACCTTGGGGTTTTGTTCAATCTGGAAATTGAAAAAGAGTGTCACACCCTCCCAAGGGAATTGTTTTAAGATGGGTTCCAGGGACTCTGAGCAGAGATGAAGGAGTGTTGCCGAGAAGCATGGCCCAGCGCTGATCTCGCTGCCCGGGGTGGGTTGGCTGGTGGGTCAGCGTGGAAGCACTCCTGGCCTCGAGTTCACATTTGTAAAGGACATTCAGCTCTGTCCTGCAGAGTCCCGGGTGTGTGAGGGAAAAGGACTGGAAGCCAGCTCCAGGAGTCCCCTGCCACTGGAGCACTGTGCACTGCTCCTGCTGACCCAGTCCAGCTCATTCTTAAAGACACAGGAGAGACGGACAGATGTCTGTCTGAGCCTGGACCCTTCCCACCTTCTGTGGGCATAATGAAATGATGGTTCACTAGAAGAACATTCTGTTGCTCGCCGTGTCGTCTACCCTGGCTTTGCCTGCTGTCCTGGGGCGTGGAGGGTGTCGGTCTGACTTCAGTAAACACGGTGGAGAACCCCACATCCTCTTCCTTCTCTGTTGTTCCCTTTGGCAGCCTCTCCTGGGAACCTGCGCTTATTTCGAGGGCAGCTGTTTGTATTTGTAGCTAACTAAATCGGCGGAGCAGGAGGATGCGGGGGTGGGATCGGCACAGGTGGGTCTAAGACAATTTGGAAGGCTTGCTGCCCTTTTATTTGTGGACTTGAACTTTCAGAATAAGTTTTGATCTCATCAGGTTTCAGAAAATCTAATGGTCGAGCGGCCGTCAGCCTCAGGCTGATATTAACAGCAGGTTAACAGCGACCTGCGGTGTTGGGACTGTCAGCCCGTCATCTTGAGAAGCAGGCTGCTGATTGACAGCTTTGGGTGGCCTTCCTGGGATTTTCAGACTTTTGCCTTCAGGAAATAACATCTCACTTTAAACACAGAACAATTCAACAAAGTAGGTGCCAGGTCTGTTAGTATTCCTCAACTGTGGATGAGGTCGAGGCTCGGGACAGGTCAAGGACTTGCCCAAGATCTCAAGGTCCAGTGGTGAGACTGGGCAGTGAGCCAGGCCTCTGACCCAAGCCCTCCTGCCTCTGCCCTCTTGAGATAGGCCTACCGGGCACGCTTTGCCAAGTGGAAAATTCTAAGTGACTCTGGGCTCCCACAGATGGACTGTGTCGTGTCAATGACGTGCCTCCCTTTGAGAACAAAACAACATCCCTCACGGTTGTCCCCTTGTGCGTAGATGGTGGCAAATGCTTGTTTGCCAGGCCTTCCGTCTCCGCCCTTCTGTGTCCCATTGAGATCATGGAAAGGCAGAGTAAATAGCAGAGGAGTCAGCGCCTCCCGGGTGTTTGCTTAAGAGTAGTGTTCCAGGATCCGCACCAGATAGAGACGTCGGGCGATGAATGAGCGGCTCCCCAGGCCAGGCGCCAGCCACTGCTGCTCTGTGCCCAGCGGTGTCCTGGCCAGCATGAGGTCACGTGTTCCCACAGGACATGCCCTCAGAGAAGGTCACCTTGCCAGATTCCCAGCTAGTCCTCCTCATCCCACAGGCAGGCAGGGGCCCAGCAGGAGGTGCAGAGGGAAGCTCAGGGCCACATCAGCATGTCCCAGTGTCAGGTGGAGTGAGCAAGGTGAGATCTGGTCAAGGGGGAGTGGCAGGGGAGGTGGCTGCCAAGGTGTGGGGCTGCCACAGCAGAGGAAACCGTGGGAAGGATTGTCCAGGGAGAGCCGTGGGACTGGACGGGGGAGGAAGCCCAAGGCTAGCAGGGAGAAGCCCAGAAGTGGGGAACCCCTGCCCAGGAGCTGGCCCTGCATCAGGCTGCTCCAGGGCCCGAGAGGAATGGGCCACCTTGGGTCTTGGTGTCATAGCACCAACTGCTGCATGGAGGGCAGGAAAAGCACCGTGGTTCTGGGATCCAGTGTGATGGGCTTCAGCACCACCCTGGTTTCCACAGATGGAGCAAGCAAGCAAGAGAATCTGCACTCGACCAAAATGCACCGTGCCACACCAAATGCAGCGAGGCAGGCCCACACGCTTCTTTGCATATTTAATGATTATTGACTTTTTAAATTGGTTTTAAAATAAAACAGCTTCTGGGTGAATGCAGACGTGCGAGGGTGGCCGAAGGGGTGGCTGAAGGGGTGACCGGTCCCCACCTCCTGCAGTCATCCCCCTTCCACGCCTCAAGCTCACCTTTCCCCCAATTTCCCATAAACATGTATTTTCAGTGCAAATTGTTTCACAACCGAACGTGCTGTAGATAGAGTCGGGTGGCACAGTGAACAGGCTTTTCATAAACAAGGGGACTGTGAGGCGCTGCGGTGCCATCAGATAGCCAGCTGCCTTCTGCAGGGAGCCCAGCCTGCTGCTTTACATAATAAGAACATAAAGAGTCGCATTTTATTGATATGTGAACAGTTTATTGCTTTCTGTGATTTAACATCTTTACCAAATGTGGTGGATTAGACTCTCCATTTCATTAAAGCAGGATTGCTGGCCCTGTTTCATTATCGCTGTTCTGATCCTCAAGGAGAAAAAAATCTTGCACACAGCTTTTAGCTACTTAATTATTATGGTGGGCAGCGATCGCAAAATCGACACGGAACTCTCTTTGTAGAAATACACAAAGAGCGTGGTTTTCTGCATAAGGAGTGGAGACAGCAGAAGACTCTCTCCTTCTGCTGATGAATAGATGGCCTCAGTGGGCACATGCGTTTTGGAGACCTTGTTGGTTCTGGGCCGGGTGATGGTTTGTACTGATGTGCACTGACTCACAGTCAGACACAACCGAAACAAACAAACAAGACCCCTATTTCATGGATGGAAAGATGGAGAACGTCAGTGTCACAACTCTCCCAGGAAGAGTCACGGTCCAACAGGAGACCAGAGGAGGGTTTACGACCCTCCTAACTGACCATTCGTTTCCACCCAGGAGCTTTTGAAGACATGGCGGCGGTCTCAGTTCCCCCTCAGGGATACCAAAGTGACTTTCTGCTTTTCCTCTCTCCTCAGGCTCCCAGGAGAAACTTGCTTGTCCCTCCTGCATGTGCCTTTCCTCCCCCACCCCTTGCCTCTGGGGCAGCCGCACTCCGGCAGCACAACTGGCCGCCTCAAGTCCAGGGGGCCATGCTGCCGTGGCACCGAGGGGCACACTGTCTGATGCGCCTCATCTTTTCTGTGCACATGGGCAACGGACAACTCAGCGGCCACGGTAACCACGGAGATGCCTCCAGAAGGTGGAGAACCCACCCCACAGGGCTGTGGCACACAAAAGACACCACTGTGCAGAGCCAGATGCCCTTCCCAGCTGGACAGCACCCTGGCACGCCAGCCACGCTCTCTGGGATCAGAAGTGGAATACTAAGGGGGCTCTCCTGGTCACATGTCGTCCTCCAAGGTTCTCCACTGGCCTGGGAAGCTTTGCAGACACACTGATGCAGAGCCTGCTGCCCGGAGCTGCTTCAGTCCGGGTGGCTAAGAACCTCCCCTCCGACGGTATGTGAAGCCAAGTCAAAAGCCCACTGCTTCAATGCTTGGGGTGGAAATGAGTAAACTCTAGTTGGAAACAAGAGTACAGAGGCCCAGAGAGGCTTCCTCTTGTGTTTGGGTCACACAGCTCTTTGCTTGCACAGTGATTGCAGTCCTGATTTTCTTAGCCCAAAGTTGATTTCCTTCAGATACAGCCCTGAGCCCGGCTGAATATCAGAATCACTAGGAGACTTGAATCAGGACTGGAGTCTGGATTTCAACCAATATCAGGCACTCTTCTTTCTAAATCTCCTCCTGTGAATGGAATGTAAAAACTAGGTTTGAAGTCAATTTTACTACCCTGCAATCAACTGTCTCGAGCTCCCTGGAGTGCGTGTTGACAGGGTTGACTCTAGGACTCCACCTCGGCTCACCAAGGCACAGTGTGTGACCTGGGGTCCGGGAGCCGGGTTTGAAATCCAGATCAAGCCCTCTGGCAGGCCTTCCGTTGTGTCGTGATGAGCGTCCTCCATTCCGTACCCAAGCATTTAAGGCTGAGTGGCTCTTCTGGTCCTCTCCGGGTCCCCTCCCTCCCTCTGTCTCTCCTCCTTCTCCCCCGCTCTTTTTGTGTGTATGTGTCTGTGTATTAAAAAACCACTCTGCTGTCTCGGAATAGACTTATTTTCGGACTGAGGGTCTTTGGCAGAAAGCCATGTGTTATTTTGTCCTATTAGAAGGTTGTGTAAGAAGTACAGTCCTGTCCTTCACTCTCTAGTCACAAAATGATGGATATGTTTTAAAGTGTTTTAATTTCTAATTTAGGTCAACTGGACTCAGTCCTTCTGAAATATCATTTTATTTAATTTCTTGAATTTATTTATACAGAGAACTGAGGATGGGGGAGTAGTGATAGGGACGGGGAAACACAAAGCAGAGGGACGGAGAGAGACCACGCCTGTGCTGAAGGGGACACACAGAGTCCAGAGCCAGGTGTCAGGAGGGTCAAGCATCGAGACCCAAAAGGAGCAATGAGGAGGGCAGGAGGAACGGAGGAGCACAGGGGTGCATCCAGTGACACCCAGGTCTGTCCTATTTGACCCTCAAGTGGCCGGAGAGGAAGCCCAGGTGTCAATGATTCATGTGGTGCCATGTGGGCCTGAGGGGACTTTACAGGAGCAGTGGCAAGGGACCACCGGGAGCCAGGTTTCCAGTGCTTTCTGTTTTGCTTCCTGATCAGCAGGTTTCATGGTCAGCACTTCGACCCGCAGGGTGAGGGACGTTGAAGGAAGTACCCGGAGGGCCAGGGCCTGGCCGAGCAGGGCCCTGGCTTTGCCGAGTTGCTGCTGGATTGCCTGTCTCTGCCTGGTCTGCCGCACAGGGAGGCCCCACTCACGGAAGACAAAGGCAGTTCTGGTTTCCTTAGTTTTCCTTCTCCTGCCCAGTGCGGGCCAAAGCTCAAGTTCCACCTGGGGCCCATGGCGGGGCAGATGGGCAAGGTGGCAGGGCGGTGCCAGGGCCACCAGAGGCTGCAGCACCCTGGATGTGAGCACGGGGACCTCACCGCCTGCCAGCGGCCGCTATGCTCCCCACTGTCCCTGTGAAGGGGAAGGAGCTACAGACGCCCTTCCCAGGACCCTGCGGGAGGCCAGCACCACGGGCCTCCAGGGGCGTTGGCTTTTCTCTCTTTCTTTCCGTATTTGGAGAGGGAGGGAGAAGCTCTTCTGTAGTTGATTTGCAGGGTAAGGCTGACCCGGGAAGGCTCCAGCCAGGTCCAGTGTTCTGGGAGACAAGGGGACACTAGTTCTAGCCAGAGCAGAAGGCAGGACCTCGGATGAGGAGGGGAGCAGCAGGCGGCCAGTCAGAAGCCAGAAACCCGCAAGGTGCACAGTAGAGAAGAGCGACAGGAGAGGGTCTGGGCAAGTGTGAGGCGCCTAGGAGCACCCTGGCCCCTCTCCAGGCAGGGGGTGCAGAGGCTCCCGTCTATGCTGCCTGCGCGCTATGCACACCTGTGCTTTCCCCAGAAGCGATAGGTGTCTCTGAACCCAGTCCCAGGACCCTGAGTGTCCTCCACTTACATGGAAGGTATGTTTTATGAGCCAAAGGCATGCCATCTGCAGGACCTGGGAGAGAAAACGGGCCCAGGACCTGCTGTGTGGGCAAGTCTCAGAAATCTGTTTTCCTGAACAAACAAGCCAGTGGAAAGAACAAAGTCTGAAAGTGAATCATAAACTCTTGTTTTGGTAGAGCAGAAGCTGTTTTTGAAAACAGGTATGTGGGATACTGGGGCACAGATGGTCCCCGAGGACCAGGAATTCAGCATAAACTTCCAGGAAGAAGCTAGTCCAGCTGACTCATCTGTGTTTTTCTTCTTCTTTTCTTTTCAATAATTCAAAGCAAAGATAACAAAAATTATTCAACATGCTGAAAACATCAAACACTGATTAAGGCTTCAAGTAAAGAGCTTTTGTTAACTCTCACAGAAATAAACGTGATAAATGGAAAAAATCACCCTTAATATAAAAGAAGAGCCCTGAGTGAGTTCTTAGTTTGTCTGAGCTAGTGGTGATGTTCTGTAATCCCAAGGCTTTATGGTTAGTGGACATCGTGGGCCTGAGAGAAGCCCTGGGACCTGGCTGCTTCCTTTATGAAGGATGGCCTTCCTTCCTCTTCCTCATGAGAAAGAAGTCAGAGCAACCCCGAGCAGCCACCGGCTTCACTCTGAGGACACACATTGAAAATACGTCCCCGTCTGAAGGTCTCCCATCTAGGAAAAGCTCCTCCTTTGGGAGAGGCCCAGAGAGCCCAGGCTCTACTTGCAAGTCCTGCTCGGGGGACATCGGTCCACTTGTAAAAACTGGCTGACTTAAGAGTCCAGGAGGACCTAGTCAAGCAAAAGGAAAATAAGTGCCTCAATCTTTAGACAAAATCATTTCAAAACCAAAACCAGGAAGGTTTCTCAAGTTTGAGATGGGTCGACCAATAAATGTCTCCCAATTTTGGGTAATGCTAAAAAACACACAATGACCTTCAGAAAACACCTGAGCACATTGTGAGTTACTCCATTAGCATCTTATAGAGGGTCCCACAAACATCTGCCTAGACTGGCCTGGTAGAAACCTAGAAAGGATGAATTGTCCCCTTGACCACCTGAATTTTTTAAGTGATTAGAAAACACATGCTCTGTTTTGCCTCATCTGCATGCACGGCATAATTAAGGTCAAGGACATGAAATGACAACCATCCTCTGTACACACTGAGTTTTCAAACAGAGCTGTTTCACTGTCTCTTATGACTGAGCTCTGTTGGTGAGGGTACAGGCAAGTCCCTTCCCTGTGTGATATGGAGTGACTGCAAGGTCCTGGGGAGGAAGTGGCTGAGACCAGCATCCCAGTGAGCCGCAGAGGGCGGGTCCCTGGGCTGATTGCTGCTGCAGCTCTGGGGCATGGGTGACTTTGGACGAGCCCGTTAGGTGGGGCAGGAAAGACTTTGCTTATGGGGCAACAGTCCTCTGGTTACACTCTGCCGAGAATCCAGGCTCCTTTCCCAGAAACAATGCTCTTCCAGAGCAGGAAGATCAATATCCCCTCCCCCAGAGCTAGCATGACACCCCACGGCTGCCAGCATAGGCCCAAGGGCCAGGTGGCCTGTGAGGCTGCAGCTGAGCCCCTCATGGTGTGCATCCAGGGCACTGGGGACCAGGTGACCAGACAGCAGCTCCAGGCCTGGGTTCCCCAAGGGTGGCCTGCTGAGCAGCAGCAGCAGCCAGAGCACGGGGCATGCTGCATAGGCAACGGGGTCTCGGTGGCCAGCACAAGAGAAGGGCCAGCTGAGACAGGTGTGCCTGGTGGCAGGTAGGAGGGGGCATCCTCACTTCAGGACATGTGCTGAGCACAAGGACTGCGACTAGAGAAAGAGCAGTTCCTAAAATAAGGCCTGTGTCTCGGAGCAGGGCAGCAGGCCACCTCTCCTGCGGCTGGAGAGAGCCCTGTTCTGCAGCCGGACAGTGGCACTGGGTAAGCAGGGTGGGTCCTGTTCTAGAGCATGAGAAGCGTCTTCTAGGTTTAAAGGTACAGCCAAGTGTATTCTTGGTGTGAATCCATTAAAGGAAAAGGGATGACTCCTGGGATTAGAATTCAAAATGACGGAGCCGAGCTGATCTGGGAACTAGGATGGGAAGTGGCAGGACAGGCACTGGGAGAGGGGTGAGGCAGGACTGGGGATCAAATGGCTTCCTGTGGCACCTGATGCACCTCAGAGGAACCGCGTGTGCTGGTGTGTGCGTGTGTATGCACATACTGATGCTTGTTCACTGAGCATGAGAATGGGAGGCAGTTCTGAGAGGGAGACTGGCTTCACTGGGGACTCGGACCCTCTGAAGAGCTGTGGACCTCTGTGTAGAGAGGAGGGCATGCAGAGGGCGCTGGACATCTTTAGCAGAACACACCCAGGGAGAACATCCATGTTCAGCTGGGCTGGCTGCACCTTCCCCTGGGCGAGTGCAGGCTCCCCACTCCTCAGGCCCCTTGCTGTGGCCCAGCTGGGACTCCACGTTCCCAGGTCACTTCAGGGTACAACTGGAATCTGACTATTTAAACAGACACTCCCAGGTGAAGTAAGGACCGGCCAGAGACTGCTCTGGGAGATTCTCCCTGGAAACTACCGCAGGGCCAGTTAGCTTCGCAGCACTGGATGATATCGCAGCTCTCGATTCTGAGACGCACGGCACAGACAGTTACACTTTGACATCTGTGCGGGGCGTGTGTGCTTCCCAAGCTTGACAGCGGCTGCAATCGTGACATGGCTGACCCTGACCTAGCTACATTCCAGGGGCACCTTCAGCATTTCAGTAAGAAAACCCCTATGGAGTTAAAGAAGGAGGACATATCTGCACAATAAGGGGGTCAATTCAACAATGGAAAGCAATGATCCTAAAGATATGTACCCAAAGAGTTTGTAACGCACAAGGAGACGGAGACGTGAGAAGCAGAAAAACCCCCGTGAGATCAGAGATTTCCACACCTGCCTTTCAGTAACAGTTAGAAGATGTGGTCAGGACATGGATAAATATGTATAAGATTTGAACACCGTTACCAGCCAACCTGGCGTAACTAACATGTATGGATCCATCAGAACACGGTGTTTCAAATGCACTGAGGACGCTTACCCAGACGATTCTATTCTTGGTCATAGAAGAACCATAAATACGTGCACATACAAGGACATGCATGGGAAGTGTTTTCAGCAGGTTAATCTATAAATCCAAAGTCTGGAAACAACCTGAAATTCCATCAAAGGTGAGTGGACAAACCACAGTCCAGCCAGTGCAAGACCATTTGGCAAGGAAAGAAGAGGACCGTTGATGTCGTGACCTCCTGGGTGAATCCCAAGCAACTAAGCCCCATGAGAGGCCGACCCCAAGAGCTCACGGTATGATCACATGACTCATGTAGAATGTGGGCAGAGGGAATCTCTCTGTAGAGCTAAATCAGATCTGCACCTGCCTAAGGGTCAGCGTGGAGGCTGCCCACAGGTTCTAAGAGGTACTGAGGCTGACCACAGGTACTAAGAGGTACTGCAGAGGGGGAAGACATGCTGGGGGGAGGTTCTCCTCCTGATGATGGTGACGGCTTCACATGTGTCAATGCATAGCCACTCATGCACCTGAAGTCATGCAGGTAATTCAAGAAGAACTCCAGAGTGAGAAGACAGTGCTGTCCCCTTGGTTGGCACCCGAGAGGATGGGACAGCCAATGGTACGCAGCATCAGAGGCCAGGCCGCTGCCCAATGCTCATCCCCCACCACAGGTCCTCAGCCACAGTGTCAAGGGAGCAAGGGGACCTCACACCCGTCTGGTCATGATGCCCATTTCCAGGAACAGAAGCTGTGGGCCAGGGAAGGGCCAGAGCATCCACGCACAGGTGAGGAAGCTCCCTGGTCCTGACCTCAGCGCAGCCTTCCTCCCCAGGTTCCTGGTCCTCCGTTCTCTGACTGTCCACCCTCCTTGAGGACAGCAGGTGCTCTGACACATGTTGTGGCCCTGACTTGTCCTGCCTTCACTCAGGAGTCTCCCTGCAGGGGCAGAGCGGTCGAGTCCAGTGGGTTCTGGAACCTGAGACTGCAAGGGCAGGACAGGTGGGAGCCTTCAGTGGGAAGAGGCAATGAGAGCCATGGGAGGGAGCCAGTCCCCAGCTCAGGGAGGGAGGGCTGGAGGGGGACACTGTCTGAGCCAGAGGACTCACATAGGCGCCTTCATTGGATTTGAAAAAATGGCAGAAGAAAGAGAAAGCAATTGATAAAAGCAGCAGATGTGGGATGGAGTGTTGTCCTGTGGGATCAGCCTCCCCCGTGGTGAGCGATGGGAGGTGAGCAACTGGAGGCCAGAACCACACTGGGGTGCACAGGGATCGTCCTGATCAGTAGCAATGGTGACGGGAAATGCCAAAGGTCCCACCAAGTGGCCCTAAACCATCTTCCTTATATTACAATAAATTGACTAAAAAAAAAATGTACATTTCTTCCCCCCGCCCCCAGGACAGTTAAGGCGTCTTATAAATAAGACAAGAAAAATAACAAACTTGCCAAATGAAAGGACGCAGCCACAGAAAGCATGAATGACACGAGGCTGAAGCCGAGTACAGCCCAGGGACGCAGCCACTCCACTTGCAGGGAAGCACACAGTGACGCCCCGCCCCGGGAGAGGCCACAGGCTCTCCACTGACAGTCTCACTGCAGGCTTGAGCCGTAGTCATTAGCATACAGCTTGGAGCCTTCTGTAGTGAAAATCAGATATGACGTTGAGGTACAATTTCATTAAAATGTTAATTTTGCTGGTCAGTGATTCGGTCTGAGATGGGCCTGGGATGCGTGGGCAGAGCGTCCCCTTGGAGGGTCCTCCTCAAGTGCTCCATTGAAACTCGCTTTGGGTGGCGGCTGGATGGCAGGAGATAAGGATGGCCCTCATTAACATGGAAGACGGGTCATTCCCGTTGCAGATTAGGAACAGACACAGACCTTGGCCTCCAGATAAGTCAGGAAGAACAGTTCTTCCTGTGGAGCACTAGGCAACCCACGGAAGGCCCCCCTGTGATGGGCTGGCTGAGGCAGAGCCAGGGCTTTTCTCAGAAAGCAGCCAGGGTCTGGGGCAGAGCGTGGGCCTGTGTTCTGTGGAGAATGCAGTGCTCCTCCCAGAGCCGGGCTGCCCTGCGTGTGGCCACTGTCCTGCCACCTGGAGCACCCGTGATGCAGGCCCCGCCTGTCCCCAGGCCCAGGGAGCAGGAACAGGGAAAGGCCCAGGGCCGTAGTCCAGCGTGTTCCTGGTCGTGCACACGGTGGAACGTGGGTGGTGGAGAATGTTTTAGCTCTGAACACCCCAGAGCAGGGGTCGGCCAGCGCGGTGGGGGAGGGGCAGCCCCCTCCCACCCTGTTCCTGCTGCTCTTCTTCCCTCCCCATCTCCCCCCTCCTGTTTCCTCCTGCACTTATTGAGTGAGGACCCCACGTGGGGCCCTGAGTAAAGTGCACAGGAGGCTCAAGAGGCCCTGAGCCTCCTGACTCCAGAGGTGAGTGACAGAAGGATTAACTGCAAAAGATCCCCTAGCACGCAGGAAAAATCCCACAGCCCGGACCGAACCGCCTGGTCTGTGGGTCTGTTTGATGTTTATCACTCAGATGTTGGAGAAAATATATCAGGTATATTTGCTTTGTTATCAATCAAAGCGGTCTTCTTTTTGATAATAGGTATAACCGGTGGTTGTGCCCGGAAACCTCCTCTACTCTTTGGCAATAATACTCGGAACTGTTTCTGCTTCAAGGTCCAGTTTTGAGATCCTAACCTAACACATGGCATCGGAAATTTCAACATGCAGGTGATGTGGGTCCAAGGCATGGGTGGATCCTGTGCCCGGGTCCCCAAACCCTGCCAAGTGAATCTGAGTGAACTCTCCTATCTGGCACAAAGCGGGGGCGACTGCTGGAGCCCAGGGTGCCGTGGTGGTTTCTGTGACAGTGCGATGCCTCCCAACATGCGAGGCCTCGGGACTGTCCCTTGCAGACATTGCTTGCACGTCTGTTGTTTCCAGGCTCAAGATGAACCCTGGGAACAAAGGGAGGAGCAGCGCACGGTCCCTTCCCACGGGGCTGAGCACAGTGGGGGGACAAACACGGGCACATGATCACGCGCCTGGCTCCTCCAAGCCTCTGGACTGGCCGTGTGCCATTCTGGTAGCCACTTTCTGTTTTCACAAATCATTTTAGTTCTTTTCTTAATTTTTCTAGAGAGACAGCTGGAACTCTCATTCGCCCTTTTCTAGTATCACTTTTTCTTCTTCTTTCTTTTTTTTTTGGCAAGTAAAATTGCATGATTTAGAAGCACAACCCATTTTGACACATGTGTATATTGTACAATGGGTAAATGAAGCTATTTGAGTTAAGCATTATTCATGCCTATTTTTTTTTTGTGGAGAGAACAGCTGACATTTACTCTCTTAGCCGTCTTCAAGTACACAGCATATTATTTTCAACCACATTGCACAGAAGATTTCTTGAACTTATTTCTCCCATTTCACTGAAAGTTTGCATCCTCAGGACAACATCTCTCCCACACCCACCATAATAGCTTCTCGTAACTGCTCTTCTTTTTGGTTTCTCTAAATTTGTTAGTGAGGTCATGCAATTCTTGATTTTCTGGCTTATTTCAGATGACATGATGTCCTCCAGGTTCATCCATGCTGTGACAAATGACGGATTTCCTTCCTTTCCGAGGCTGGATGGTGCTGCTGTACATACACAACACATTTTCTTATGCACTTGCCTGGCGCATGACACTTGGTGTTCCATACCTTGGCTGTGACTAGAGCTGTGGTGAGCACCAGGGGACCAATGTCTCTGCACAGTGGTTTCATTCCTTCTGGATACACTCCAGAGTGGGTTTGCTACAGTGTGTGGTGATTCTCTTTTATGGTTTGATGATGATGGTCCATACTGTTTTCCAAAGTTGTTTTTATATAATATATTTATTATATATTATATAATCCCCATCAACACCATTGACTATTCTATAATCCCCATCAACTGGGTGCAACCTTCCTTCATGGCCAATGCCTGTTGTTATCAGTTGTACCAGGGATTGAACCCACAGGTTCATAACCATCCAGTCACATCCCCAGCCCTTTTATAGTTTTTGTTTTGAGACAGAGCCTCGCTAAGTTGCTGCGGCTGGCTTTGAACTTGCCATCCCCCTGCCTCATACTCGGGAGCTGCTGGGGTCACAGGCGTGTGCCACCATGCTCGGCTCAGCCCTCATTTTGCTACTAGTAGTCAGAACAGTGTGAGCTAATATTTTATTGTGGTTTTAACTTGCATTTCCCTGATGATTGGAGATGTGAAGAATTTCTTCCTGTATCTGTTGGCTTACTGGTTTCTTTCTTCTGAGAAAAGTCTGTCCAGATCCTTTCCCGTTTTAAAAACCAGGTTGTTTCTCACTATTGGGTGTTTGAGGTCCTTATATAGTTTAGATATTAACCTCTGCCAGATGTACAATTGGGGAATATTTCCATGTTCTCTGCAGGTTGCTTCTTTGCTTTCCTGATTTTTTTTCTTTGCTGTGCAGAACTTCTTAGTTTGGTACATCTCTATTTGTCTCTCTCTGCTTTTTATGTCTGTGCTTTGGGGTCTCTCCAGGAAATCATTACCTACCAATGCCTCTGAGCATTTCCTCTAGGATTCATTCTAGCAGGTTTACAGTCAGCTGTTAAGTCAAGTCTTAAATTTAAGTCTTCTATTTTCTGTTAATTTTTGTATATGGTATGAGATAAAGGTCCAAGTTCATTAATTTCTAAGTGGATACAGAGTTGTCCCAACAGTATTTATCAGAATGATTGTTCTTTCCCCATTTTGTGTTTTTGGTACCTTGGTGAAAAATCAGTTGACTATAAGCGTGAGGATTTATTTTTGGACTCTGTGCTGTTGCGTTGGTCTGTGCCTGTTTTTATGCTGGTACCATGCTGTTTTGATCACTATGGCTTCATAATATGTTTTGAAGTCAGGTAGTCTGCTTCATCTAGTTTTGTTCTTTTTACCTAAAATTTCTTTGATTATTCTAGGTATTGTATGGGTTGACATGAATTTTAGGAATTTTTTTCTATTTCTGCAAAGAATGCCACCGGAATCTCTGTAGAGATTGCATGGAATCTGTAGATTCCTTTAGGCAATGTGGACAGTTAAACCGTATTTGTTCTTCCAACCCTTGAGCAAGCCTTGTCTTTCTGTTTGTTTGTGTCTTCAATTTTTTCATTAATGTTTATTGTCATCAGTATCTATATTATTCACCTCCTTGGTTAGTTAAATTTATTCCTAAGATTTTTTTTTTCTTGTAGAGCTACTATGAATGCAGTTGATTCCTGGTTTCTTTTTCAGATTGTTGTTAGTGCATAGAAATATTACTGATTTTTTTCAAGTTAATTTTGAACCCTAAAAGTACTAAATCTGTCTATTAGTTCCAATGGGTTTTTGGTTTACATATGTAAAATCAAGAAGTATACATGTCTGTTTATCTATTTCTATACCTATGTGTGTATGTATCTGGTTATGAATCCGTGTGTCGGTGTGTGTGTGTGTGTGTGTGTGTGTGTGTGTCTGGTTATGGACGGTGTGTCAATGTGTGTGTGTAAGTATGTGCCCATCTGACCTCCCATCTATCTACTCCAATGGGGACAGTTTCCTTTCTTTGCTTCCAGTGTGGATGCCCTTTACTCTTCTACCTGCCTAAGTGCTCCAGCCACCCTCTAGTACCATGTGGCATAGGAGTGGCGAAGGTGGGCATCCTGTGCTGTTCTAATCTTGGGGGAAAAGCTGTCAGCTCTCCATGTGGGGTGTGGTGCCAGCTGTGGGTCGATCAGATATGGCCCTCACTTTGTTGAGGTGAACCCTTTTTATGCCTGCTTTCTCAGGGTTTTATCTTGAGAGGATATGGGATTTTGTAAAAGGTCTGCATCTAGAGATGGTCTCATGGTCTTTGTCCTTCATTCTGTCCATGTGGCATAGCCCGTGTTCACCCCACGTGTATTGAACAATGCTTGTATCCTGGGGAGCAGTCCCCCTGAGCGTGGCGACTGGTCCTTCCCATGAGCTCTTGCACTTGGTTTGCTGGTGTTTGCATGAGGGTTTTTGCTTCTGTGCTCAGGAGGACCTTTTCTTTTCCGATGGTGCCCTTTTCTGGCTTTGGTACTAGGGAATGTGACCTTGTGAATGAGTATTACCGTTTGAGAAGGATGCGTTACTCTTTGCTGAATGCTTCGTGGAGGTCAGCAAGAAAGCCACTGTGTCTGGGCTGGCCTCCACTGGGGCCTCCCCAGTCCTGCATGTCCCTCACATGCTCACAGAGCTATTTCCTTGTGATTCAGCGGGTACACTCGCGGCCTCTAGGCCATCCAGAGTGTTGGCATATGATAATAGCTCACAGGAGCCTCAGCGTCCTCTGCAGTTTTGTATATGGCATGACACTTGTAGTGTCTCCTGTCTCGTTTCTGATTTTATTTGAGTCTTTTGTATTTTTTTTCTTGGTTAGTCTAGCCAAAGTTTTATTAACTTTGATCATCTTTTCAAAAAACCCACTCTGGGTTTTGTTGGTCTTTCCTGCTGTTTTTCTTGGTCTCCATTTCACTCATTTCTGCTCTGCTCTTTGTTTCTCCCTTCTGTTAACTTTAGGCTTATGTTCTTCTTTTCCTCTTACCTTGAGGCGTAAGCTTAGGTTGCTTATTTAGCATCTTTCTTGTTTTGAGTGTCTTGATTGCTGCTCACTTTTCCTCAGACCTGTTTCTGTTGCATTCCATAAGTTTTGGTATGTTGTCTGTCTAGTTCTGCTTGTTTTAAGATATTTTTAATTTTTCAAAAAAAAATTTTTTTTTTGGCACCAGGGATTGGACTCAGGGGCACTCAACCATTGAGCCACATCCCAGCCCTATTTTGTGTTTTATTTAGAGACAGGGTCTCACTGAGTTACTGAGCACCTCACTTATGCTGAAGCTGGCTTTGAACTAGTGATCCTCCTGTCACAGCCTCCTGAGCTGCTGGGATTACAGGTGTGCACCACTGTGCCCAGCTTGATTTTTTATTTTTTATTCTTTGATTATTATTATTTGGGGGGGGTATACTGTTCAACTTCCATGTAGTTGTGAATTTACCTTAATTCTTTCTATTGTTGATTTCTAGTTTCATACCACTGTGTTCAGAGAATGACTTCAACGTTTTAAAATTTGCTGCGACTCATTTTGTGCTCAAACGTGTGATCCATCTTGAAGATTGTTCCATGTGCACTTGGGAAAAAGTTGTGTTCTTCTGTGGTTGCATAGAATGTTCTAGGTGTGTCTGTCAGGTCCTCCTGGTCTGAGATGTAGGTCAAGCACCATGTTACCTCACCGTGTTCTTTCTGGATGAGCTGTGTGTTGTCAGTGTGGCTGCTTCTTGGGTGGGGGACAGATGTGCGGCTGCCTGTCCCTCTCCTGGGTTCCCCTGAGGGAATGGGTGATGTCCAGCTCAGGGACAAGAGGCGCCCATGTCCTCTGGGAAGCAGGCCCCGGGACAATGTGGCTCCTGCAGGTAGCTGGTGCCCACGGCCTCTGCCTTTTCTCTGTGCTTCCATCAGTCTCCGGCTGTCTCAGGGTGTCACCAGCGACCCTTGTCCCACTCCACTGTGTCTGGGGTTTGAGCCCTCTCTGGGTCAGGAGCTTTGTGAATAGCCATCTTCCTTTGTGTCTTTCGTGGGAGGGTGAAAACTGCTCTCTCTGACTCCACCTCCTTTGTCTGGTGGATCTCAGTTTCGTTCCTTGAGCTGAATTCTCCCTCTGTTCTCTCTGTCTACCTTCAACTCTGGGGTTAGGGTGTAAGGAGCAGAACCCTGGTGGCTCTTGGGGCCATGGCCAGCTCCAGGCGCCCAGCAATTGGCTCATGCCAGGCAATGGTGCTGCCTTCCTGTTTTCAGCTGGAAATTCCAAAAGGACGGCCTGCCTTTCTGGTATCTTCTGGTATTTCTGTTTTGGGTTGCAAAGGAAGTATTGAGGTTTCAGAGGGAAAACCTCAAATTGTTATCCAAACATGGAAGAGTTGACGGTCATCATAACTGTGCCTTAAGTGTGGCAGCAGGAGCCAGGCAGAGCAGGGGAGCTCCTGTGGGTTTCTCCAGGTGAAAAGTGGGTGGCCTGAGCTGGGGGAAAGGGCTCCTTCTGTGGCGGATTTTGATACTTTTCTTTTCTGCTTGTACCCAATTGAGTGTGAACACCCGACCTGCTGCCAGCTGTTGGTGTGCATGTCTGCTTCCTGCTGGACCCCACACTCTTCTTCTCTTTGTTTATTCTGCTTCATGTGGTCCTCCACCGGGCATCCAACAGCCCCTGAGCTGGCCCTTCGCGGGCCAGGCCATGGTGCTCGCTGGCTGGCACACAAAGATGCGGCCGGACCCTTGCAAACAAGCCCCTGCCCTGAGTTCTCCAGGGCCCGTTCTGCTCCACTTCTTGGGGTCAGCCCAGCTCCAGCTCCACCCACAACCCCAATACCTTGTCAAAGTAGCACCATGAAGGTCCCCAGGAACCCCTCTCTGTGTCTGGGGCATGTCTTTGTCAGGGAAGCGACTAATTGTGCGAAGGTTTGGAGCTGTGCTGCTGCCAGCCCTGGAGAGGGATGCTGCTTCTCAGAGGTGAGGGGATCCGAGGCGGAGACACTTAGGTAAGAGGAGAGACAGATTAATTATCTTGTCAAACCTTTCTTCTCAGCGAGCACACTGAAGCAGACCCTTGCATAATGAGGTATCACTTCCCCACGATGCTGCGCGCCCACATTTTCCCCTTCTCCTCATGTTCTAATTTTTGTTCCAAAGGTCTTTGTGAATTAGCACAGATTTCACAACAGTTACACAAGGTGGACCAGGAGCATGTTGAAACCTTAAATCAGTCAGGTGGATCTTCAATCTGCCTGTATGTAGGTCTAGATGTTACACTCTTGAAGTATGATATGAATTTTAACAAATTAGTTATAGGTGGTCTCAATGTCTTCATTTTATTTATTTATGTGGTGCTGAGGATCAAACTCAGTGCCCCACACACGGGAGGCAAGCACTGTACCCCTGAGCCACAACCCCAGCCCTGATAGGAATTCTTTACATGGGAATTCAGTGGATATTGAACACAAAATTGCAAATTCTTATTAAAAGTGATGGGTTTTATTGATTTTTCAAAAGCACAAATCAGCTTGTTTGAAGATTTTGATGTTAATTTAGTTATCTGTTATTGGGATTTGAATTTTGCAGAACTATCATGAAGAAGGGTTGTTACAAATGAATTGATATGCAGACTGTTCTGACCATGAACGATATACTTTCAATTCTGGTTTACTCTAAAATTCCCCTGGAGTGAAAAGTTTGAAAGAGGAATAAAAAAAAAAATTGTGGATTCAGCTATAGATTTAACTGAAAAAAAGCTCATCCGCATTGTATGATGAAACTAAAATATCTTTATATTTTCTGCAGTGATCATGGCTCATCCTACATGACTTCACAACAGTGTTTAAACTCATGGGTTATTTTCAAACTTGCAAATTGCCTTGAGAATTTGATTAATAATCCCAATTTTGATTGCTTAAGCAATGTGATATTTTCCAAACTAAAATAACCAAAAAATTCCTACAGATGTCCCAAAACTACAGTGATCTAAACATAATTGCTTACTTTGTCAGTAGAACAGAGATTATGTGAAAAGAGTTATAGTATAGAACCTTAATTAGTAAATATTCCAAAAGTCAAGAAAATGTTGTACAGAATATATGACATGACATGTAATTATTTATTACTCATCTAACACCCTCTAGGTAATCTGCAGACATGTAGACCTGTGCACCTTTAGGTTACTTTGCAATTTTAAGTATGCTTTTACTTGGGTAGAGGATAGGTCATTTTTCATTTCTTAGTATGTAGTTTGGCTCAAACTTTTTAGAATATTGAGAGGGAGGCCTGGGTTTTGACTCCTGCGCTGGACACTCCGTTGTCTGGGAGGACCCCCGTGGAGGCACACATGGTCTTCCCAGCTGGCATGGGTCAGACTCTTACTTTGCTTCCAAGGGAATCCTCAGGGAGGGCATTTGAAGAACTCAATGTTTCTTGAACTGTTCAATGACAGCTTTCATCCTGCTGTTGGAAGAACTGCCAGGCCTCCCATAGCTGGGGCAGTGCTTACTGGTTCTGCCAGGTAAGGATGCGGGTGTCTGAGCAGGTAAGAAAGCTGGGCTGGAGTTCCCCTGGACAAGTATCATCCTTGCACAAGTGATGCCCAAATCCTGAGCAGCCCCTTTCTGTTCCTTTTTTCATAGGAAGAAAAGCCAAACTGTCCAAGGCAAGGAATACTCACTAATCAGGGCTCAAAGCCTGCAGTTGGGGAGTAAGGTGCAGAGACAAATGGATTTCCCTACCTGTCAGAGAGGCAGGCTCTGTGCATAGGAGGGCTGGAGAGCCCAGGGCCTCACAGACAGTGGGGGTCTGAGTGTATTCATCCAAGGAACACAGCGATGCCTGCAATGGGTGACGCGCCAGGACCTGCAGGAGCAGGTCCGCAGTGGGATTCGGAGAGGCCTGGAGTCGGCCTGATGTCAAAGTCCAGGCGAGAATGACCTGGGGCCATCTGGCACCTCCGGAGGTCAGTTCACCAGATCCTGTGCTGAAGAAACCCCTGCTCCTCCCGCTGTCCATCACTGCTCCTGGGAGGACACGGGACCCTTAGGATAGAGAAGGAAGTAGTGAAGCACAAAAACGTCATTCTAAGAGGTTTTAGTTGTCCTTCTGATGCATTTGGTCCCTTTTGAATGTGTCCCGATTCCTTATGTAGCATCTTCCAGAATTCAAAGTCAAAAAATTCAGAGGGTCTCTATTTTCCCTCATGATCCTCGTTTTAAAGCCATGATTTTCCAATCCCTAGGATGTTCCTGGGCCTAGGAACGAGTACTCTGCAGAAAGCTTGCTTTGCTGTGTTGAAGGCCTATGGAGTCGATGCAGCCCCCAGGCTTGGAAGTCACATAGTGATTTACAAATAACCCACGAGCTGGCAGTGGACGAGGAACAGGGAGAACTGAAATCTATTTATTTTTTTAATATCACAATGTCCACGCTTATGTGACAAGTATTCATTAATGTTAAATAAAGGGTAACTTACTATAGGATTGGTCGAGCAGCACAAAACCATGTACGTGAGTTAACCCACCATCTCTTAGATAAAAAGCCGAGACAGTACCTCTCGAGATCTGCCCAGCTGGCGTTTCCTCCGGCTGCCTGGTGCATCTGGGAGCTACTCTGGCTTCCTTAGCCTGTCACTCAACTTACATTGACTCCTTGAAAGCTCTAGAATGATTTTGTCATGTCTCTCTGCTTAAGAAAGAGGGTCATGATGTGGCATTATACGAAAAATTGCTGGAGCAGAAATTAATGAATAGAAATATTAGAAACTCAGCAAGTCCTATGGAAGTCCCAGCAACCAGATTCCGACTGCCTTGCAGGTTCCAAGCCCCCCTGCATTTCATTTCACTTGCACCTCGTTTGCTATCGAATCTTTCCTAATTTTTTAAGACAAGGCTCTGACACTACCAGGTCCAAAGTCACCATGAATATTTACTAATGAGTCTATATCCCAAAAAAGTAGATTTAAAAACTTAATCTTGACTGGCTTCTAAATGTAGCCCAAGCCTCACACTGGGCAGTTCTAAAAGCAAATTTGAAGGCTTATGTGGCTGTGGCATCTGCAGAGAAAGTGCTGATCCCACGTGCACTGCTGAGCTCTGCCCCTCCTCTTTGGAGAATTAGCGTATTATGCAAATTGTTTTACAAATACGGTGCAGATGTCATTAATAAAACATGAAAGTGGAATCTGTGTCGCCAATTAGCATTTTCATTGTATTTCCAGTCCAGTCTCTGCTTACAGCTTACTCTACCCTGTGACATACGTGCGCGGCTGTCGCCAGAAACCTCTCTGCTAGTTACAGAGTGAAGGTGCGAGGGCTGCGAGCTGCTGGGGGCCCATCACAGGACAAGAGGGGCCTGGGCAGGGCTGCAGGCTCAGCAGTGGCCAGACCCTGGTGCAGAAGCTGCCCATCAGTCCCACTTGTTTCCCAGGATGAGCTTGTTGAAGGGCATTGCTGAGCAGGTCACATTGAGATGCCATAGTTGGCTCTCTTCTCATAAGTTAAACTATTGCTTGGTTTCTGGGTTCAGAATTGTGACCAGGGTGTGATTTGCCCTTGGGCAACTGGTTCTTTGGAGCTGGTTTTTGAAGGGGGTCAAGAAGTCCACTTTAGAATAAACACTCCTTTCTGAGGAGATGGACATTAAAAGCCAATAATGTTTCCTTGGAAGCGACTCACGTCTCTCAATCAGTGTGCATGTACTATTTCAAAGAAAAAAGAAGTCTGTTCAGCTCCATAGTCTATGATCATCACTAACCCTGACAGCCCCACGCAGGTGAGGAGCCGCATAAAACCTGGCTAAAATGTACGTTGGAAGTTGTGTCCCGAGATTGCCTTATAACATTAATTTCTCTATATGCTGGAAACAGTACTGCTAACAATTAAAAGTTGTGTGCTGTCGGGGGACCAGAGGAGAGAGGAATTTAAGTCTCTTGGCTCAGATCAACTTAGAGAAATTATGCAGATTATTCACAGGCGAGGGTGCCTGCAGTTACCGCCCTTTCTCAGAGTACGAGGGTCACATGGTGATGGCTGTGGTGGGGGCTGGAGAACAAAGGCCAGTGGTTGATCTGTGGCTGCCTGAGCTGCCCACAGCTGGTGACTGCCAGCTGGCCCCTCCTGTCTGCACTGGGTGCACCTAGGTCACCAATAAAGTGCACATCTCCTTCTGTGTTCCAGAATCCCCAATTTGGTTGTTACTTACAAGTAAACTTCTGTAAGGTCGTCGGGAGCTCAGAGGTGAGGACACGTGCTTGGAAGCCTTACCTGCATGGAGGGCACCTTCCCAGGGAAGAATTGTGCACTCCACACCCAGAAACATGCCAATCTGCACCTCAGAAAACGGGCAGAGGCAGGGACCCTGGCGGCGTGGGGTGCACCCTCTCTGAAACTCCAGCCTGGGTTTAGTTTTCAAATATTTAACTTTAACCTGTTTAATATTTAGTAAGGCTAAAGAAATAAAAGATGAATTATTGAAGAGATTAATGTTTTTAAAACCAAAAAAGTCACAGCCAAGCAGCTTTGTATCAAAACCTCATTTCACAGGCATTAATTTTTTAATAAGGTACTGATTGTCGGATGAGGTACACTGTGTGCTAATCAGCTCCACCTTCAGGGGAAGGCTTTGCTATTTTCTTGGGCTAAATACGATCTGAGTTGAATTCCTTCCACTGTGGGTTCCGGAAACTGCTGAAAAGACATCGGAAGGGACAGACTCTTAATTTTCTTCCTGATTTGTAACCCGAGTGAACATCTGAAAACCTGTGCCATTGGAAACCCTCCCCAGAAAGGCGACTGTGCCTTTTCAGACCACACCCCTGTAGACAAAGCCATTACCATCGGGGATTGTGTTTTCTGGGGGCAAAAGGTGGGGGGCAGGGTGGGCAAATTAAAGCAGAATCAATAGGTGGGGCTTTGTTAATGGAGAAGGCGGCTTGGGCGCCAGTACAGATGGCCGGGCGGGGGAGGGGGCATCTGGAGAGGATGGAGAAAAGGGGGGTGGGTAGTGCCCTCCCCTTTTTTGACCATACATGTCATTTGCAAATGTCATCTTGTACTTATCTTTCGTATCTGCATTTGAGAAAAGGTATGATTATTGCATCTCTGATCCCAACTCCGGAGCTCCTCGGCACTGCCCCCTAGGAAGAGGTGTTCTCAAGTGGATCCTGGAGGTGACCACTTCAGAACCCTCCCCGGCACCCTGCTTTACAGGGGAACATTCTAGACGGGGTGGGAGGAATGTTGGAGAAGGTGGGCAGACCTCAGACTGGAGACAGTCACCCAGAGAAGGTTCTGGGGGTCTAAAGTCAGACTGGGAAGGGAGAGGGTCGGGTCTGCTCAGTGCAGGTGAGATTGCTGAAGTGGAGAAGTGGAGTCAGACCTGCATGTAAGCACGTGGAATTCCCTCTTTGTATAGTGACTGCTAATGGGGGTTTACGCCCCCTGTGGGTGTGCGTGTGTCCGTGCATGCTGATAAATCCTCCTAAAGGCTGGGCAGCAGCGCACGGTGGCAGGGGGACAGGAGGAAGCGGGTCCTGTGCCCTGGTTCTCACCATGCGAGACCCTCTGTCCCCTCTGGGCCTGCGCTGCTCTTAAGCCTTATGTGATATTGCAAAAGGCAGCTCAGTGTGGGAGCCCAACCCTGCCCTGGGGAGGAAAGAAAAGAGGGTTCTAAAATAAACGGGAGAAGGTTTTCAAGAGCCCCCACTTCAGCCGCAGGATACACGGCTCTTGTGTTTATTCTTTTGAGGGAATGGAAGGAGGTCCCGGGGGAAGGGCAGTTGTAGTTGTCGGCACAAACACACACCCTGGAACTCAGCCTTTCAGAGGAGAAAATGCCAGAGACTGAAAACCAGCCTTTTTAAAAACATCAATACCTTCTATTTATAGAGCTTGAAAATGGTTTGAAGCCAAAAGCAGTGATAGCCCAATGCTTAAGACTGTCACATGCAGAAGGGCTTGCAGAGGTCTTTGGAACTTCAGGTCAAAGGTCCAGAAATAGACAACTAAGTCTACTCTCTCAAGTTTGCTTTGTGCCCACGGAGGAAGGTTCTTCAAAGTGACCCTAGAAAGCAGCTTTTCTAGCAACTCTGATAAGCATAACTGAACCATCCAGCATGTTTGCTTGGGATAGATTTCTCGAGAATTCTCTGATTCTTTTTGGTAGACTGCGTCTTTTATTTTCCCGAGGAACTCCAAGGTCTTAGAGGAAAGCTCGCAGCACGGGGTGGGAGGGGAGGTCTTTGGCTGCGCGTGTTTGCGCCTGGCTGGTCTCAGGGTTGCGGAAATGCTTTCAGCCCCACTGTTTCACGGGAAGATCACCAGACCTTTCCATCAAACAGGAACTTTGCCTCTGGCCCATTTTTGTGTTTTCTTTTGGGAGAGGGTTTGGAAGGTGAGGAGGTTTATCTAAAGAAGTCCTGTTACAACACACACACACACACACACACACACACACACACTTCCTTGGACAAAGTACTTCTTCTGCAAGGAGATCATCGGGAACCTCGGGGAGGGTGGTGGGCTCTGTCTGGGTTGGCGAGCCACCGTGGACTCACTTTGGGCAGGTACAGAATCCAGCAGCGACGCTCGACGGGCACAGCCTGGGTCTGAAGGCTCCTGGGTGCTCTCGCGGAGACAGCACCCAAAGCTTTCTGACCCCAGGTTCCCATCTAAACCCCCGCCACTCCACCGATGGCCCCTCAGCCATCTGCCCGGGGGGGGGGGTGCCAGGTCTTCCGATCGTCCCTTTTCCTCTTGCTGGCTGTTGCGCCCTCCACATGAGCTTCCCCGCAGGCCCCGGGTGTGTCTCTGTCCCGCAGAGTCACCTCCAAGCGGCTCTCACGTTTCCCTTGGTGGGAAGCTGCGTGGACAAGCCTTCCGCACCCTCTGCCTCTGACTCCTAGCCCCGGCTCGGGCTGAAGCTGCTTGGGAAGGCCTTTCGTGTTCTCAGAGTCCTCGGTGCGCTTTCCCCCCCCTTCCCTGCCGGCCTCTGTCCTTCGGGCTCTGCTCTGTCCAGTGTCTGCAGCCAGCTGGGTAGCGAACTGTTCAGGGACTGAGTCCAACAGACTTCCAACCAGAGGAGTCCTGGCCTGGGGGCGGGCAAGGGAGCAGAGTATTGGCCGTGGCCCGGTGCCGGGCCCCGCTGAGCCCCTCTCCGGGGTCCACGGCTTCCCACGCCTGCTTTCCCGTCTGTCCTTGGACCTACTGCTCCCTATTATTTCACCTCCTCTTTTTCTACCTGAAGGGAGGTAGCCGTGCTCCCCGGGTGGCCTCTCCACCCGCAGTGCCCCTGCGGCTTGCCTCCCCTGCTCTGGGAGTCTTGGCTGAGCACGCCCAGGCCCTGCCTCGCAGACTGACGGGGAAGGAAGGAGAAGGCTGAGGAAAAGAGAAGGGGGCCCCGGGGCAGAGACCAGGCTGGATGGGAAGGGCCCCGTCTTTGGAACATGTCGGTGACCCCGCGTGACGGGAGAACAGTCAAAGGTGAAAAGAGAAGAGGTACCGGCAGGGGACAGGGGACAGGGTGATGCACGTTCCTCATGATTGTAGAGTTGGTGCTGCGACCTGAGTCACTGCATATTTTCACCCAAGAAACCATCTCACGTGTGCTGTCGAAGGTGGAGAGCGACAGCCGACCAGCCAGAGACGCCAGAAAGCCGAGAAAGCCGGCAAACCAGGTAGGGGCCGAGAGGGTCTGGTGGGGGCCGAGAGGATCTGGTGGGGCCCGAGAGGATCTGGTGGGGGCCGAGAGGGTCTGAGCACCATGGCCATCAACTCCTGACTCAGTACTAGGTTAGCAATGCCCACAAGTTGGTCTTCTTTACTTGCTTCTCTGTAGGAAAATCTCAGGGGGTTTGGTTTTCCTGTATTTGATCCTGTGTAGGATGGATATATATACATGAATACATAATTATTTTCATAGGTTTTGTAGGTGTGTGTATGTATATAAACTTCCTCTAGAGTTTCTAGCTACATGAGGAAGTAAATTTAAATAAAGGAATCTGTTAAAAAATGAAATTGAACCTGCTCAGTGAGAGCCTGGACACATGATCTTTCTATAAAGTTTCTCACACACATATAAATAACTAAAGGCAAGCACACGTTAGGATCTGAATGGGTCCCTTCCAAGTTTCAGGCATGGATGATGCGATAGGATTAAGAGGTGGGGTCTCTGAGAGTTGGCGA